ACACACACACACACACACATATATACATAAACACACACACACACACACACACATACACACATATATAGGTATGTATGTATGCCAGTATGCATGCATGTCTATCTGTCAACCTGTCTTCCTATCTGTAAGCATACGCATCCACGAATGTTTCTTAATATTATGATCACTGTGGCGATGTGTTAATCACTGGTAATGCCTGCATGCCATCCACAAGCAGTTCACTTGGATGACGAAGAAAGGGTTACAAGTAATATTACAGAGACCTATGTTTATCAATAACAATAATCTCCTTGTGTGGCTACACTACTTATGAGACAATGTATTTTACCAAAATATAAGAACTTATAAAATGATGGAAAGACTATCGACAAGAATGAAAAGACGCTGTAAATCTAAAAAAAAAGAGACTAATACATACTAAAAAAGAGATTAACACATACTGTACGTTGGTGAATCAACGACAACTGCTAGAGTATATAGGAGACGCCGGCGTGGAGCTCTCTTAACTCATTGTATATAAACACAAATATCCCTTTAAACCACATGTTAAGTTCATTCAGTAATCTTAAATTGCGTCATGTGAGTGTGTGCGCGTCACGCACTTTTTAACTGTGTCTCAGATCAAGTGAATTCCTTGCAGAGCGAAGATGATATTACGACAAGGTCTGGCACTTCTGGTCGTAGCTGCGGTCGCTCTGGGGCAGAGCCGGAGGGCAGACCCAACCTATGCCGGGTGAGTCAGCTGGAGAGGTTTGTTGCTGGCACAAGATTGAAAAGCCAACTTCTAGAACACGTGCAGTACATGTAGCATATGCTCGGACCATTAGCTTTTAAGATGAGGTACAGTATCTTCCTGGCTGAAGGTAAAAATGATTAACCATTAGAATTATTGGTGAAGTGATTTTGCAACCCATCGTATGAGCAGCTACAGTATCTATGGTAATACTTTTGAATTTCTTTTACAAGGATAGTTACTTTACTATACCTTGGCCAAGTACTGTACATATCGTTTCTTCGAAGCACCGGAAAAGATTGGTAACTCAGGTTAGAGTAATATGCAGTAAATGTTTCAGATGGAATGTGTTGGAAGTGATGTCATTACCCCCGTTTCTGAATCCAGAAACCTTTGGATTTCCCAGTCACTTAGAGCTCCTCAGCTTTAACACAGGAACCGGTAAGGCTTTAGATGTTCGTGAGGCAAAAACAACAAGTGATCTCTTGGCTTGAATTTTGAGTTGATGGCAATAACTTAAATTTCCTGCTTAGATGTCTTCGGATTCTTTTATGGACAGGTACAACCGTATTAGCAGTGGCCCAGGATAAGCTGTCTCAGTTCATACAAAAATTAACGGATTCCGGCGTGGCCTTCCAAACCAAGATACAAGATCTGTCCCAGTAAGTGCATAACAATCGCTAGCAAGTTTTCGTTCGAGTGTGTGTGTGTTACATCAACTGCTATGTGCTATGTTCGTAACTAGCAACAGATTTATTAATGTGTGGAAAAAAGGCAGGAGAAAAGCCGCTGTTCAAGATGAAATTAGGCAGCAGCTTTATTAAGGAGGATTCTACCACTCTGTGGGCGTGGACATCAGCGCAAGGGAAGACAATTCGCGCCGCTGACCAGTCCATCTGATGGCCTGTGTCCCACTGATGACAAACAACAGCAACGGCCTCTTTTGTCATCAGTGGGGCACAGGCCATCAGATGGACTGATCAGCGGCGCGAATGGTCTTCCCTGTCGCTGATGTCCACACCCACAGACTGGTGGAATCCTCCTTAATAAAGCTTCTGCCTGATTTCAACTTGACCAGTGGCTTTTCTCCTGCCGATAGTCTCCTCGCTTCCCACATCCTCCGCCTCCTCCCGTCTTCCGGCCACCCTGCACATAGTCCTTCCGATCATCCGACCTGACCGTTCGTCTGTCCTCACCTGCCCCGTGTTCCCTCTCCTCTTTCTCTTTTATACCCCCTCCTCTCCCTTTCCTCTTCAGACATGAAGATGAAATGGATTTCGTAACTGTAGTTTCATTTTCAATAAATCTAGCTTTTGCATTGTGGATTCTTCTATCATAGTATCAACACGGAAGAGTGTTTTACCATTCATATATATATATATATATATATATATATATATATATATATATATATATATATATATATATATACATATATGTATATATGTATATATATGTATATATATTTATATATATATATATATATATATATATATATATATATATATATATATATATATATATATATATATATATATATATATATATATATATATATATATATATATATGTATATATATATATTATGTATGTATGTATATGTATATAAGTATTTATGTGTGTATAGCCATATACATTCATACATACACACATATATATATACATACATGTATATATATATGTGTGTGTGTGTGTATATGTATATATGTATACACATACATACATGAATGTGTATGTATACACACACACACACACACACACAAACACACACACATATATATATATATATATATATATATATATATATATATATATATATATATATATATATATATGTATATGTGTGTGTGTGTGAATGTGTGTGTGTGTGTACATATATACACGCACACACACATGGGCGCGCGCTAGTTGCAAGGACAATATGGGGGAAAATAGGCGGGCAGAGCGCCGGAAGTGGAATCCATAATAAACTGAAGTAAGGTCTCTGCAATATCGCCAACTTTCAACACCGATATAAATGTACAGGAAATGACAGTCCAAGTGGCTTAAATGGGTAGTTATGCATTTAATTGGAAAAAGCAGGTAAGACTGAAATGCAAAATGACATTCAACACACAGCGTGAGCCAGGTAGGCTAACAAAATACAAGGTAAGAGACATGGAGGGGTGAGAGAAATGTTGGCCAGGGCTGTGTTTTACGCCGGGAGAGTGTTTTGCATGCCGTGGTTTCGCGAGGAATGCACGACAGCTGTTCCGAAGTGCTGACGGGGTTAACTCTAAAATTGAAAGGGAAGAATTTTCAAGCGCATAAGCAATCATGCAATAATGAACTTGGATTGACATATAATTATATAAATCTTTACTGGAACTCTAAAATCTGTGACGGTTTACTGTGCCTATTTCTGCAGCTGTACGCCAAGCAGTGTAGACATGTTTACTGAGAGATATTGCTTACTCTCTCTAAGTTCTAATCATGATTTTAATACCAACAGGTTATTCTTATCCCCTCTTACGTACGACATGACAAGGAGTCTCCCGAGAGGCGACACTACCTTTGATCGCTACATGTACTATCAAGAGGTAAGGGATATAGGTGGATGGGTAGACAGATAGATAGACAAACAGATGGAGACAAACATAGATAGACAGACTGACAGATAAATAGGGAGACAGCCAGAAAGATATGCAGACAATCAGATATATAGGCAGACAGACAGGTTGATACATAAGGTGTGTGTGTGTGTGTGAATGTGTATGTGTGTGTGTGTGTGTGAGTGTGAGAGAGTGTGTGTGTGTGTGTGTGTGTGTGTGTGTGTGTGTGTGTGTGTGTGTGTGTGTGTGTGTGTGAGAGAGAGAGAGAGAGAGAGAGAGAGAGAGAGAGAGAGAAGGGGGGAGGGGAAGGATAGGGAAAGAGAGGGGAGAGACCAAGAGCGAGTAGGGGAGACCGAGGAACCTAAATGCAGTGCTTTCTCTTGCTCGCAGATCGTGTCCTACATCGAAGGTCTGTCCTCCAAATACCCAAACAAGGTTCAGGTTGACGAGATTGGTCGGAGTGTCGAGGGCAGACCTATATATCTCATTACAGTTAACAAGAAAACCAAAACCCGAAAGGTCGACAAACCTGTTATATTCATAGAAGCAGGTTCGTTATTTTTGTAATATGGCATGCTACAGAATGAAGAACATAACGCTATTTCATTATTGTTGCAAGGAAGCAATTACAGATACTCAAGAATTTATAACATTAAGACTACTGGTTCTCGTTCAGCGCTTTAACCAAGCAATGTCTCTGCAGGAGCGCACGCGAGGGAGTGGGTGTCCCCGGCCGCGGCGCTGTACCTGGTGGAGCGCCTGCTGGAGAGCCCGTCCCTCCTGCGCAATGCCGAGTGGCGCGTCGTCCCGCTGCTCAACCCCGACGGCTACGTCTACTCCTGGAACCATGTACGCTCGCGGGCCTAAGCGCTGCATTGCGCATCCATGCATACATGCAATCGCTTTGTGCGTTTGTGTGACACACACACGCACAAGCACATTCACTCACACACACACACACACACACACGCACATACGTATATACATGCATATATATACACACATATATACATATATATACATATATACACACATACATATAATATATATATATATATATATATATATATATATATATATATATATATATATATATATATATACACATATCTGCGTGTGTGTGTGTGCAATTGATTTCGGTTCTTTACTAAATACTAAAGTTCTATATGACGACTCTCTCACAGGACCGACTGTGGAGGAAGAACCGCGCCCCTTCATCCGTCCCCGAATGCGTTGGCGTTGACCTGAACCGGAACTTTGACTTCTATTGGGGAGGTGAGTAGAGCGCTGCTCTACCGCAACAGTAATATGTCATAGGACAATGTAGGCCTACACACGGTCTATGTATTGAGCCGATATTCGAAATAAGAATTATAGAGGATGCCATTTTGTGCGAAGCCTCTCTTCATCCAAATGCACTCTGTATCGTGAATCATTCCTTGTTCAGGAGTTCAGGCCAGTATGGACCCTTGCTCTGACCTCTACCAGGGCTCAAACCCATTCAGTGAGCCTGAGACCAGAGCGCTGAGGAAAGCCGTCTCTGCGGTCAAGAGAAGAACCAAGGTATATGAACCATCCATGAACCGAAATGGTATTTACTGCAAATGGAAATGTGTGTGTATATATATATATATATATATTACGCGCCCTTAATTTCCCCTTATTATTATTATTATAGGCATACGTGTCGCTTCACTCCTATGGGCAAACATTCCTGTATCCTTGGAGCTACTCCAGAGCCGCCAACAGCTCCAAAACTAGAGACCTGGTGAGTGATCCCCTTGTGACAGTGCATTTACCTTTACTTCTTACTCAGTATCCCTAATATATCTGTCAAAGGCAAATATGCATTATTACAAAACGATTTACGGTTAAACACCAAGTTACTTTATCCTCGTTTCTGTTCTTTAATGGCATCATAAGCCAGTACCTTAACCATGACGCTTTCTCTCTCTCTCTCTCTCTCTCTCTCTCTCTCTCTCTCTCTCTCTCTCTCTCTCTCTCTCTCTCTCTCTCTCCTCAACTTCTGTTCTCGAGTTCTTATTTCGTGATAAGTTAGACTTTGATTTCCAGGTAAATTTAGCGGACGGTATGGCGAGGAAGGTCGAAGCTGCCGGTGGGACGCGGTACAATATTAGCGGCAGCGGAGTTTCAAGTGAGTTCGGGGTATATGCTTACAAAACCGGGCTCCCCTCATGGGCATAGCCCGGGCGAGGCTCTGCTTCGCAAATCAGACAAAAAGAAAAAAAAAAAATGCTGCGGCTTTGGAGGCAGTGCGCAGAAACTGCAGAGATGCACATATACATATAAATGCTTATAGTTACATACGCGTACACGTTGTATAAATACGTGTGTGTGTGTGTGTGTGTGTGTGTGTGTGTGTGTGTGTGTGTGTGTGTGTGTGTGTAACTATAGCTTGATAGATGAATATAGATACTACGTACATGTATATCCATATACAAAAAAACAAAACAAAACAAAATAATGTATTCAAATACCACAGGGTAGATAATTCTTCATATATACAGTATGTGTGGATTGCGGTTTACTCTAGGTTATTTGCAGTTCTCGTCGGAGGGGCGTCTGACGACTGGGTGGCGAGCCAGGGCGTGCCGTACGTGTACACCATGGAGCTGCGCGACAAGGGCGAAACCGTCTTCCACCTTCCCGAGCATCTCATCGTCCCGACGGCAAGCAGTCGCATTGCATTATTGTGCCATATGTAGTAACTGGCTAGAATTAAGCAAAAATTAACACGAAAAAGTGGACAAACCAATGAATAAACAGACAAATAAATATATAGACAAGCTGAAAAGTAAATGAATAAATATACAGATAAATGAATGAATGAAAAGAGAAATGAAAACCAATATTCCCGGTCGCACTGGCCGGCTGGCGCCCCTGCTGCCTGAATTTCTTAACCTTGTGTTTCCTTTCCTCAGGGAGAAGACGTCTGGGCAGCCATGAAGTATCTCGGGAGGAAACTTCGGTACAGAAAGAAGAACAAAAGGAACTAAGTGCAGTTCTCAAGACGAAGAAGAACAGCGAGGAAGAAACTGCTGTTTTTAGCGCTGAATACTGATATTTATATTAGATTGAGAGAGATTCATGGTGCGGGCAAGAGGAATTATGATAATGACGATGATGGTGAATATGAGGAGATGGGGAAATAATGAAGTGAACAAATTAATGGCACTAAATTCAAACACTGTGTAGTGACA